TGACCTTGGGCAGGTGGCCCAGCCCCGTCCATGGGACCTGTGCTTCACCTCAGAGAGCGGTGCGGGGACTGCCAGGCTTGGCACAGCACCTGGGACTCCATGGGGGGCTGCCATTCACTGCCCACCCACCCCAGAAAACATCGCAATTGCGACACTGAATGAAGCAGTGGCACAGGGCAGGTGCCTACTGATCCTTCAGAGTCTGAGAGATGTCTCGAGTCCACGGCAGGCAGCAAAGCCAACTGCAGATTTTAATACAAGAGGGTGGATTCAACCTCAGGAGTGTGGCCAACACCCAGTGGGAGAACATGAGCAGGGGGCCTCTGATGGGAGACGCCCAGCTGGAAGGCAGCACCAGGCCCTGGGAATAGCCTCAGGGAAGCCGGGGAGAGAGCCAGGCTCCGTGGTAGGTGAGAGATACCAGCCGCCCACGCAACTGCCCAAGGGAAGTGTACGTGAGGGCCAGGACTGGGAGGTGGCTGACTGAGGCTGGTGAGAACGGGGGACCCTGTCCACCAAACCATGAAGAAGGCAGAAGGAGGTCAGGTGCGGGGTGGGGACGAAAGGAAGAGTGGGGAGAGGAAATCTGTGGCAGTACCATGAAGAACAGGGGTAATCTTAAGTGTATTTACTAGCAATAATACGTATAAGAAAAGCCGCCAGGACTGGAGGAATGTGGCGAGGCGAGGGGGCGAGGAGGACAACCCTGAGGCCCGGCTTTGGTTCCAAAGCACCGGCCCCCACCGTGTGGGTGCCTTTCCCGTTCGGAGCTGTGCGGGGACAGAGGAAGCGGGAGGCAGGAAGCTCCGAAGGCACCCATCTGACCCTGTGTCCCTTCTGGTGACACCTGCAGAAGAGTCTTCCAGGAAGCTGAGACTGCATTCCTGTCCCAGAGTGGACCGGGAGGAGCGAGACAGTGCCCCGAGGCCACAGCAGCGGGTCGCCCTGGAACAGGAGCGAGGCCCGGGAGCATCCGGGCAGACCTCTCAGCATCGCCCACGCCCCATTCCCTCAGAAGCACTAGGGTGGCTGTGGGGCAGGAGGCTCTGGTCTTACCCCAGAAGACCAGAGCTTCGTTTTCTTGGAAATCCTGCGCTGAGTGGGGACGACGCTCCATCTTGGATGACGGAGCTGAACGGCTGACAGTGCCGAGATCCCGCCAGCCAGCGGGAGCCCCCTCCTACACGCTCCACCCTTCACCGCATTTCCTCTTTCCCCCAGAGCCAAGCCCTTTACCAGTTGAGGAAGAGAAGGAAAGTCACCGTGGACTCTCGGCCTCAGGCAGGACGCACCCAGGGGCCCCTGAGCACCAGGAAGAGGAAGCACGTTGTTCTGCAGGTGACTGGTACCTAAACACACCTGGAAACGGGTGGCAGGAGTGGCCTTTCCCAGAACTCCAGGGACACAGCAGCTAGAGAGGAAAGCCAACGTGGCATGCTGGCAAGGGAGCCCCCGCCTGTGCGACAACGCCCTTGCTCAGGCCACCGTGAGATGCTGCTGACCGGGAACGGCCTCGGCGGACACGGTGAGAGGGAGCTGAGCAGCCCGGCCCTGCCTCTCTGCTCTCAGCAGCGGGTGTGTCCGAGAATGCCTCATGTGAATGTTTGTTTCCACTTGTGCCGGCACAGAAGACTGGTCTGAGAGCCTCAGAACTCACAGCTTGGCTAGATGCGGTTATTTTAAAAATTAAAAGGTTAGCTTTAGCAGGAAGAAAAAAGTGAGAAACTAAATAGAACACACCTTCACTGCTCGGATGATGAGGCTGGCAGTTCTGAATGCAAAGCCGAATGTACAACTGCTGCCCAGCATGGACAGAGGGCTGACCCTGCAGCACCCCTACCTGGGAGTCAGCAGCGCGGAGTCACCTGGCACCATGTGATTTCATTTTGCTCCAAGCTAAATCTTCCCGGAACACCACTATCAGAACAGCTCCTGGGATCGGAACCCCCAGGCAGAACGGCCGGGCAGCATTGGCGGCGCTGCCGTTAGTGCAACCGTTTGGAATACTTTCAGAATCAGGCCTACGCACCTCAACTTTAAAATTAATTTCAAATTCAATTAAATCAAAGGTTTGATATTTGAAACAAGGAATTTGATTTTCTGGTAGACACTCTTTACCTAATTAAGATATTAAGTCTTCAGTCATGCCATGGTTTTATAACATTGTCCGAGGTGTACCTTAACAGAAAGCAAACAAGCCAGCCAGATAGGTTTCAGCTTGTGGTGGCAAGACGGGGAGAGCAGGTGTAGCCATGGCTGGGCCTGCACCCTGGGTGTGAGGTAGCCCGTGAGACTCCCACACACCAATGCCTGATGCTCTGGGCAAGGGTGGGGGCAGGACAACAGGAAAGAAGGAATTTAGACACTGGTTACTTCAGATATCAGGAAAGAGCAGAAAGTGCAGTAAGACCAGGAGAGAGCTGGCCACCTGCGCAAGTCTGCGCATGAACAAGGAGGAGGAAGAGTAGCCCGTGCACACGCGGTGTCACGCAGCAGCCCGCTCTCGCCCCCAAAGCCCAAGGCACCCCACGGCTTCCCGTGCTGGGTGGTCTCCGAGGCCTCACATACTTACGTTCAATGAGGAAGAGAAAGCACACTATCCCCATGGCTGCCACGATGGCCCCAGGCACGATGAAGGACAGGCCCCAGCACGTAGACACCCAGCAGCCAGCAATCAGCGACCCCAGGATGTTGCCCACAGAGGTGTGGGAGTTCCAGACCCCCATGATCAAACCTCGCCTGCAACACAACAAAACACACAACCAGGTGGCGTTGAGAAGCCTAAACGAGTCGTTGGCACGTGCAGGGTCCAACAGAGCCCACAGTGTTTCAGGGCCAGTGTCGTAATCAGCAAGGAAGCCGCGTAGACGTTGCTTCCGCAAGACGCGGGACTAGGGCTGGTCACAGGAGAGCCGTATGTACTTCTGTTTTGCCTCGGGCTGTATAATCACACATTCCGTTTCTCAGAGTTTTTTTATTTTATACTTAAAAAGAGGAAAAAGGCCTTTTCTTGAAATTGTTGGAAGGCCCCTAATTTCAATGTGTGCCTCCACCACCTAAGCACGGCCACTTAGAGAACCATCACGTTAGGGAATGTTCCTGTGACGCACACACAGATGCACAGAGCCCAGCACCTAAGACAGAGGCCCCACGGGCGCTTCCTGTCTTAGCTTCCCGTCTGTTTGCCGCCTCCCACCGCGAGGCGCCCTCCGGCCGGGCTGAACTGCGTTTTCTCACAGCCGTTTGCAGGTGAGTCCGGACCGCAGTCCAATCGCCAGAGCCGGTCCCAGCTCTGCTACCTGTGTGTGGGGTGACCTGGCTCAGGACTTCTCAGACTTGCATGTTCACATGAAGCTGCTGCTTCAACAGGCCTGGGCGAGGCCCTGGACTCGACATACAAGCTCCTAGCGGGGCAGGGGACATGGAGCAGCTGTGGAGACACAGTGGAGTGACACAGACCAACCCCGCCCGCCGCACAGGAGGCTGGGCTCTGCCACCTCTCAGGTCACAGGCCGTCCGAATTTCAGAACTCCAAGCCCCGAAAGTTTCAATCATCTTAAAGAGACTAGTTAAAGAGTTTTTGCCGTAATGAGTCTAAAGAAAAACTAAAAGTAAAGTGGTCTAGTTTCCAGCACCATCTTTTAAAAAACAAATGCTATTGGAACGCGGCTCCTTTCTCTCACCTTCCTTTTCCGAACCAGTTGCCGAGGCAGGTGACGACGCTGGGCCAGCCCGTGGTCTGCACCAGCCCGTTGATGACCTGCAGGAGAGGCCAGAAAACAAGCTCAGCGCGAGCGGAAAACATGCCCCAGAGATGTGTCTCCCGCGAGGCTCGCAGAGCTCGTTCCTCTGTGCTCAAGTTTGGGAGCAGAGCTGGGATTCGCTCAAAAAGAAGGGGCACAACTCTGTTTTCTGTGAGCCTCGACAGCCAAAGATTGGTTTTAAATTATACGGTTATGTGTAATTTAAACTATAAATATATATTTTTAGCTATATTTACAAAAGAAATGCATGCCTAGTGTGGAAATTTCAGAATAAGAGAAGAGCAAGAAAAGAAAACCCAGCCAGGATGCCCCACTAGGAGACAACGCCTGGCCACAGCTGGGAGCCAGGCCTTCCAATCTCTGCAACCTAACAACTTTATAGAGAGCAAATCTTTCTTCCTTTTATAGAACTGTTTATAGAATTGTACTATAAATACGGCTTGTAAATTGCATGTTTTCGCTTATGATGTCAAAAAGAAGGTACTGTCCTTAATCATTCTCTGAAAGGAACACAATCTCGACTCAGCGCCTGAGGAAAGTATCCCTGGGCTTTCCAAGAACACCTTACGTTTCAAGAAGGGGCTTAGGGAATGTATTGGTGGATGGGTTTGCTTTGGTGTCTCGGGACTCGGGGGCAACTCTACGAGTCTACTGGAGGTGAGGGTCAGCCTAGTGCGTGTCACAGTGTTGCTGAGCTAAGCCACTCTTCCAGTGAAAACTGGGAGCTGCTGGTCCACCTGTTTCTGCCTCTAGGCTAAGCAGGCCTGGCCTTCACTCCAGGAGCTTGCTGGGACTCCAGAAAATTGTTTCTTTCTTCCTTCTCATTTTCTATATTACTATACAAGCATGAATCACTTCCATAATTAAAACAGCCAACCTTTCTCAAGTGTTATGGCAAAATCTTAAAGAGCAAAATTGAATACAATTTGCTTTGGTGATTTTGTAACTCCCCCACCTAAGGCTATCTGGGGAACCTCAGAAGCATCACAAACCCAGAGCTGAACATCGTTACTTCCAGTCATTTTCCACTGCTGGTCAATATTTATCTACAGGACGGCTGGGAAGGGCAGAAGACAAATGATTCCGGAAGGGCTGGGTCCAGCTCGGGCAAAGCTCCGCTGTCCACAGCCTTCCCACCTTCTAGCACCTTCAACAACTCTCCCTCCTCCCCACGGACTGCCTCATGCCCCATCCTGCTGCCAGTGACTGCAAAGGCAGCCATTCCTTGCACCCTTGCCTACCCCTATCTGCAGGTACCCCAGTCCTCCTACATTTTTCTCTGTCCTGACTGCTCTGTGACCCGGCCAGCTGCATGTTTTCCCTGTAGGCTTAAACCCACGCTGTCCTCGAACATTCCCAGGCACTCATAAAGGTGCTTAGGTTGTTGCTCTGAAAACTGAAGGAGCCCTGGCCCTGAACTAAATTCCTCAAACCCACAAACTCCATACCCACCCCTCATTGCAGACAGACCCAGGTAGAATATTCCCTGTCTTGCTGTCCGTTGAGAAAACACTGTAGCCCCCTCTGTACGTGAGTTCCCCTAACAAAGGCTCTTGGCGCTCAGTGCCTCTTTCTTTGGAATCCCAACCAGCCCCATCCTGGGACAGTTTGGGACACCCCCTGGTGCGAACTCCCCGGCCACGGCTTTTGGGGCAACTCCAGCTGGGAGTTCGGCTGGACGACAACTTCCAACTCCTGAGTGGTCAAATCTGTTGCGGGACAGAACGTCCCAAACTTATCCAAAGTAAGTCAGAATGAGAGCTTGGAGCTTCAGCCCCCGCCTGGGTACTGATGAACAGGATTCTTCAGGCGGCAACTCCTGAAACTAAGAAAACCTGGCAGGTGGAATTTCAGTGCAGAACAAAAAGGAAGGACTCCGTATGTCAGCTGCCCCTGACCTTGGACAGGACACAGTCTTGGCCCTTCCCGTCACCTCATCCTAGGCACCAACCCTACTTACCACGGAACCCCCACACACTGTGGGCCGTGGACCCAGCCCTCACCTGAGTTACCACGTAGAATCCCAAACTGTGGATGTTGTAGAAATACCCCAGCCCGAACAGGGCAGTGAAGGCTCCGCTGGCAAGCATCCCGGAGCTCAGGTAATACCTAATCGGCAGGCGCTCCCCTATTATGCCGCTGCGGGTGGAGAAAAGGAAAGACAAACATGAGAAAACAAACACACCCGGAATGTAAACGCCCGGCTGTTTCTTTCCGATGTTTCCATGCAGTTCTCTGAGCTTTGAGAACTCTAAGGCACGACAGTTTCCAGGAAGATTCAACACAACTATTTCCCTATGGAGCGTTGACTCACCAGAAACCAGCAGCTGATAACACCTTACAAGACTTTTTATTTCTAGCAAAAGTCACTAACTCAAATAATAAAATTCAAACACTAGGACTTATTAAAGAAAACAAGAACTTGTCCTGCTAGTTAATCCTGCTTTTATTTAAACAATATCCAGTAAATATATGGAGTATGTTTAAATTTCAACTGTCAAACTACAGGCAGATGTCATGAGAAGGGATCACGTATAACCTTGAGCAAGTCGCTGGCCCCACGAGCTGTGATTAAGTCACCTGTGTTAAAACGCCTGGCTGGATGGGCTCAGCGGGGAAATGACATCCAACTGCTCCCCCAGCGACCACTCCAGCTGCAAGCGCTTTCGCTGTTTCAAAGACAGAAACTTTGCTTTAAGGCAAAGCCTGAAACACTGGGGCGGGTTCTCTCCGCTCCTTTTGGACTGCAGTGTGATTCAGTGAAGAGCCACGCTCCTGGAGTCTTACCTTCTAGCGCTGTTACAAGGTCGCCCCTGTGTTGTATCTCTTCTGCGTGAGCCGAGCGCCCCTCTCCCACGCAATCCCACCACGTGATGCTTCCACCACGTTATGGTGCAGCATAAGGTCCCTGCCAGATGCAGCCGCCTGATCTTGCTCTAAATAAACCGTTTTTCTTTATAAATTACCCAATCTCAGGTTTTCCATTATAGTAACAGAAAACAGACTAAGATATCTCTACAATGTCTTTTTTAAAAAACCTGGCTGGACTGACACAATACCAGTTTTTAATCGACCAGTCACATGTCCTATCACCCATGTAACATTTAGCACCTACCTAGGTCAATCTAAGCGTGGGATCAAGAACGGGTTGGGTGTGTACCATATGCCAGGCACTGCTCTGAGCTTCTACATGCATCGACTCATTTAATCCTCACCATAGTCCTGTGACTATGAGAACTATGATTTCCCCCATTTTGGAAAGGGGACCAAAGAGGTATAGTAACTTGCCCAGGCCGCCCCCCAGCAGGTGGGAGGTCAGGGATTCAGATCCAAGCAGACCGTGTCTGGAGTTCATGCCCCACCTGCCACGCAGTGCTGCTCCTGCTGCACTCGGAGCTGCGTGGGGCCAAGGTGGGCATCCAGGTAGGGACGTCCAGCACATACGGTTTCAACTGTCCTGACCGCTGTTGAAGTTAGTTGCTGGGGTGTGTAAACAGATGGTGGCTACTGCAACCGCAGGAGAGGGCAGGCTCTGAGCACCACGTACAGCCTCTCGTCCCGTTCCTAAATGACCACATCCCAGGACCCCAGGGCCAAAGGCGCTGAGGGCAGCCTGGGTCCAGTAAGCAGAATGGCCAGGACGTCTAAATCCTCTGCATCCATGTCCCGCCCTGTGGACACAGCACGGCGTGCTTGTCCCATGTCACCTCTAAGGAGAGAGCCGGGAGAAGCACCCCTCGCGCAGGGCCGTGTCTCACGCACGCCCATGTACTGGGCATGACTGCAGTCCTTTCTGCACTGAGTGGACTCGGTAACCAGGAAGACCTGGACCTCGAGCAGACCTACCTCAGGTACATCCCGATGGCGTAGGCACACAGGAAGGAGTAATCCAGGGCGCCGAGCAACTGCTGATAGTTGTCCTTATCTACGTGGAGTGGAAAATCAACAGGAAAAGTTCAGTATTGTTTAGTTTATCTTCCGCAGCAGGGCTGTGAAGGAAGAACATCGGGTCTCTAACTCTGGGTATCCTCAGAAAGTGGACAGAGGTGGTTGTGAACATAGAAAAGATGGCAGCACATCTTCTGTTCACCTTCTTGCAGAAGAAAACAAAGTCACCACATTTTTGAATTGTCACTACATACACACATCGTTCAGGTCAGATAAAACCCCGTTGCTCACAGTGGGCGGGCGTTTGATTTATTCCGTTTGTTTTCCGTGCTACACTGGCCTTTCTTCAGCATGCGTGCCTAGGCTGGCCCTCGCACGGGCCCCTGTGTGCGCTCTTCTTCCCACCCACACCTGTGCTCCACAAGTCCTGACTTCCACGTCTGACACACAAAACGTGAATGACCATCCCCAGATGTACCCGTTAGGAGACCCCTATTTTGGGTGGCAACAGCTCTGCAAATAGGCACTGTGGACGTGATGCTCACTTTCTGACAGGACAGAGCTGTCATGGAAACGCGGTTATATCCGAGAACAACATAACTGCTGGTAAAGTTAGCAAGGCCAGAAGCACCCGGAAAGGACAGCCTTCGGTGCTGGGACGAGCACAGATGGCCTGATGACCAACTCACCGAATGGTGCCCAGCCGCAGTCAGTCTTGTTGTCTGGGAGCTGGCGAGGGGTAACGTACCCAGCTTTGTTGCTCTGGCTGCTGAATCTGACTTCAGCCTCATCCCACGCAGCACAATACTTGTGGAGCTCACCCTGGGACATGCGGGGGGACAGAAGCAAGGAGAGGAAGCGCACTCAGTGAGGCTCAGCACGGGAGGCCGAGAGCAGCCGCCCTCCTCTCCAAGCAGCCCGCCAGAGGGCGGAGGGAGATGCGGCACGAGGGGGAGCGTGCGTGCCTGCTGATGGGGTGATGTTTCAGCGGGACTCTCCAGCAGCCCCAGTCCCGGGCACACGCACAGCTAACGTGAACGTTCAGGTGGCCGTCAAGAGACAAAGTTGGGAGCTGTCACACTTGTCCACAGGGAAGGATGGGCACATCTTCCTAGATGCACACAGTTGCACAGTGCACAATAATGAAAAAGAGCAAGTTACGGTCCACCCAACCCTGAGGAGGAATCTCACAAACACATTATTCAACAGAAGCCAGACACAGAGGGGTCCAGGGTGCATGATTCCATTTACAAGAAGTTCAAGGACAGGCCAACGAATCCCTGGCAAATGGGGTGGGAATCTTAGCTACCTATGGGGGTAACAACAGGGCACAGAGCACCTTCCGGGAGCTGGAAAGTGTCCGTGCCTTAACCTAGATGATGGTGCACGTCCAGATTTGTCATGCGAGATGCTTAAGATCTGTGTGATTCACTAAGTGCAAATTATACCTCAACTTAAAAACAGTACCTGGGGCAGGAGACCACCAGCCCACCAAGTTCACAAAACCAGCCAGTGAGGACAGGTCGAAGGAGTTCATCTGACGTGTGGGAGGAAAAGCCCAGGGCCAGGAGCTGGAAGACGGACTGGCTGTGTGAGCAAGTTACTCACGGTCACTGCCTCAGTGTCCTGCCAACCCCCGCTCACTTACAGAACCATCACTGGGACCCATGATGCTGAATGCCAGGCTTTCCCCGCAGTGCTTGGGACAGGGCAACCCTTGAGAAGCAGACACTAGGCAGAGAGGCAAGCTTGTCTGTCAGGAGGGCAGCAAAGGGGACCTGAGCAGAGCTCTTCCTCAGGAAGAGGAGGAGTACTTCCAGAAGAGTGCCCCGTGGCGGCAGGGCCCCTCTTGTTGCTCTGTGACACCTACTCCCCACGCTTCTCCTGCTCGGCGCCTCTTTCGTAAAGGTTTTGTACCGCACAGATGAGCTGACCCATCAGGTGTGAGCAGGGCGCACAGCAGGGGTGCCCGTGGTCAGGAGTGTCCTTCGGGGGGACCATGGGATCGGGGGTATCCTTAGTGGTTTGGAATCTGAGAGAGGCTAGAGGTGTGGACAGCCACGCAGAAAGCTGGGTTCAGGCTCAGGGCACAGCACAGTGGTCAAGGAGCCACCCCAGTCACCAGGAGGATAATGGTCATAAGTCCTGTGCCTTCTTCAGGAGGGAGTGACCAAGAGGCTGGCCACCTCCAAAGGGCTGTTCTTGCTAGGGCCCTGGTCAGCCTGGGCTAGACACCCTGGTTTACAGCTGGCTGCACTTGGGTACACGTCACCGAGTCCTGGCATGGCACACAGGACACAGCTGCTCTGTGGTCATGTGACTTTGTCATCATCACTGGCTGTTCTGCTATAATTAAACACTGCCCTAAAAAACCAGCCAAGGGCTCTGCTTTACAACGCAAAGTCATTCTGTGCCCAGCAGTTCCTTAGCAGAGCTCGTCCTCCCTGGAGGCACCAGCACCGGCCTCTTGGCAGCTTGGGGAGTTAGTGCTGTCACGTGCTCCCCGACTGCTAGGAGCCCGGCTGCTGCCGTCTGGGTCCGACTGCCCACCAGTGGAGACCGTGCGATGGGGGAGGCCTGGGGCAGGGTGCCTGCAGCCCTTCCACTCTGTGCAGGGCTGGCATTTGCAGCGTTTCCCCACCCAGCTGCCCCCTGGTTTTACACTTTTCTCCTCCTTGGTGCCTTCCGAAGCCAGGTGTCTCTGCCCACCTTTCCCTGCTGCCTCTCGTGGAAGCCAGCCTGGCCATACCCAAAAGGCTTGGGGGCCGCTGCTCCGATTCACCTGTCACTGAAGAAAGCCACAGGTAGGATGAGAAAGGACACCCCAGGCTGACAGGGACTCGCTGGCAGGCCTAAAATGAGGTTTCTGGCAGTAGCCTGCACGGAAGCGAGGAGAAGGGAATGCTGCAGACCCCTGCTTAGAAGAGAACATTCACATCCTCTTTCACCATTTAATATTTCTGAGGAGGAACCATCCATGGAAAATATAACAGGTTTTCCCCATAACCAAGCAGAAACGGTTTTCTAGTTTTGCTACATGGTGAGTGGGACCCAGCACCCTGGTTAGGGACATAGACACTGGCTGCAGACGGGTGTGAGCCCGTCTTGGTGCCACTGTGTGACTGGCGACCTTGGCAATGTCACTCCCGCTCCCTGACGGGCAGTTACAGAGTCGGTCCAATAACGCCCGAGTCGCAGGGTTGTGTAGAGATGGGCTGTATACGGACAGTGCCTTGAAAGGGCTCAGGGACTGGCAGCCGTGAGTATAAGGAGCTCACCTCCACATACCCTGGGACCTCATTCCGCCCCCCACCATGTGCCCTCCCAGCCCTTCTCCTTCCCTGACCCCGAAGCCCGCAGCCCTGCCAGACGGCTGCAGCCAGAGCGACAGAGGACTCCACAGTGTTCTCGCAGAAAGGGTTCCAGGGTATTTAAATAACCACAGGTTAGTTGTCAACAATGTTGCTATATTTCAATATTTCAATGAGTTTTATCCCCAAAACCTGGAGTTTGAGGGACACTGAAGGCCTAATTAAACTCAGATGAACTGATCAGCAAACACCTGCCAGGTGAAGGAATTCCTACTATGGTGACTCAGGGAAGCATACGAGCCTCCCCACAGCCCTGCCTTCCAGCAAGTCACATACAGAATTACGTATCCTGTTACATTATGGAGTTATTAACAATTGATCAGTCAAAAGACCATGTGGCAACCAAATCATACACTTAATACGCCAAGCGAGGAAAAGCAGAAGGGACCATTGTAAGCACACCATCATCACAATTTTTAAAAATGTCTGTGTAGCACATAAGGGAACAGCAACAAAAAATAAACAGGAAACAGCCACCATATTTGGGGGGTGGGCGAGAAGAAAGGTGCCAGCCTGCTGGAGAACACAGAAAACAGCCATGGAGTCACAGTGCAGCGTGTGCACGGGAGGCAGGGGATGGGGGTGCCAGGTGCTCTCATTTGTCATCTGTCTACAGATTCCTTCTCCAAACCCTAACCCTCCCTCACCCTACCACTGGGCAGCAGGAGGAACTCACTCCCAGGAAGCAGCAGGCAGCTAGAGCAAGAATTTTTTCCAAAGATGACGCTGGAAAAGACTGGACCTCCTCAGTTCTAGGCTAGCGCAGACCCATGGTCATTTAGGTACAAATATTTACCACGCTAACATACATTCAATGAAGACTCTATCCTCCTTCGCCTCCAAGGCTCTCGGGCCTGTGTAGGCCCCAGGGCCCCAGTGACGATGCACCTTCTCTGCAGGAGGAGAGAACCAGGAAGGGTACAGGAGCTACTGAGAGGGGACAAGGGGGACAGGACAGTGGGAGGGACTCAGGCCTCACTAATTCCCCCAGAGGAGAGTGGGGTTCTGTCGGTTTCCATCCACCTTCAGACAACACAGTGTGTGTGTGTGTGCATGAGTGTGTATGTGTGTATACATAATCTATAGTTAGTGATATGTTTAGTACGCTTCATGTGGCTCATTAGGTAGGGTGGGTTCATTTACTCTAACCAGTTCTTCATTTTCCTTATACAAGGCTAAAAGAATTCTCCAAAGCATTACCCAAAAGAAGTCCTGGGAGAGAAATTAAACTTTTGGTACTAAAAGTAGAAAGACAGATGAGCTGTGCTCATTTATGACAGCACCTGCATGCGGCCCGTTTACCAGAATGAACCACAGGTGCCACAAAGAAGTGACCAAACACACTCGGGCATGTGGCAGTGTACTCCACTCACAAAGGTATGTGGAAATTTATAGGGAAGCTTTTTGGTCACTGTTTACTTTTTAAAAATGGAATCACTCTACATATACTTAGGAACATCTTAACTTTTTACTCAAAATATCTCCTGGATATGTTTCTAAGTCAACTGGTTTGGCTCGAATTAATTCCTTTAGGTGGCTGCACATTTCAAAACATGGATTTGTCATAATTTGTTCAAACTTTCACCTATTGACCAGGTTCATGTGATATCCAGCATTTTTTTCCTTTTTTGGTCACTGCAAATAATGCACAATCAAGATGCTTATGCAGGCCATGTGTATGTTCTATTTTGCCAGGTGTTATAGGATATCTTCCAAAAGGCACTAACACCTGACATCCCCATCACCGACGCCTGCAAGTCCTCTGCCCCATCGTGGCCAGCAACAGGGGTCGTTGCCCTTTGCAATGCTGTGCCAGTCAAAGGACATGCTGCTACCTTAATTTGCATTTGTGAACACAAGACTAGTAAACTTGAACACAGTTCCTGCATCTCCTGGAAACGTGGATTCCTCGTCTGTGAACAGCCTATCTGCCCCCTCTTCCACTGTTCCTCTGGATTTCCTAAGATCGACATAATTTATTCTTGGATTTTTACTTTCTATTTTTTACACTTAAATCTTTAATCCATCCATTGATTTTTTATAATATAGGCATTCAACCTTTATATCTTGATAATCAGCTGTACCAACACCATTTATTAAAGACGCTATACTTTCCCCGTTATCTCCGTGAAATAGTCTACGTCTTCCATTCCATGTTACTGACCTTTTTGTCTATTCTCATGCAATATAATAATTTGATTATGGTATTTAAAATACATTAATCTTTTCGTATTTTCATTTCATTTCATATCATAAAATGTTATCTTTTTCACACCTCCCTTGATAATTAATTCCTGGACATTCTTTCATATAAACTTTAAGATTATTTTATTCAATTAAAAAAAAACCCTGCTGAGATTTTTACTGAAGTTGCATTCTATTTAAATATTAACACCAGGAGCACTGGAACTTTCCAAATAACAAGTTTCCCACCCATGGTACGTACTGCCAGCTTTTCAGACTTTGTTTTCTGTCTGTCCCTGAGGACCGAGTCCAGAGAGGGTTAGGCATGCTCACACTCAAGTCGGTTGGTCAATGTCGCCATCCCCCCTGGTTCCAGGGACCCCCTGGCAGCTTACGCTCTTTCTGAGGAGCCCCTGCTTTCGGGTTTCTGCTCTGGCCCAGCCAGAGGTAAGATCCCCCCAGAAGGGCTCCCCTAGGAGGGTACAGACCCCCCAGGCAGACACTTGCCTCACACCATGAGGCTGGGCTACAGTGGGGGCAGCAGGTAGAGTGGACGAGGGTTTCACTTGAAACACTGCGATCCTCCCAGCCCTGGTTTCATCTTCATCTTTTTAAATATACATTTTGTTAACCAGAGTAAGATAAAATGAGTCAGCATCGATTAAAGGTAAGCCTAAACAATTCAAGACTGACCTAAATCTGACCTGTTATGCCACGTTGTTCTATAAACGACAGTATAGAATGGAAATTACTTTATAATTCACGACCCTGGTGATTGATTTCAAGTAAGCAAATATATTTTGCTTTTGTTTTACTTATAATGTTCTATGAAATACAGGCTATAGATAATTGTTGAACTGTTCCTCAGGTCAACAGAAGCATGAAATGATTCATTTCAATAGAAATGAAACTACCAGTTTCATCTGTGTTATTTATAACATGAGCTAAAGCATGTGAAAGCTTCACGAGGCATTCGAAAGTTTAAGTTATCATATGACGTGTGGTGTTCTTATGTCTTATAAGGCAAAGAAACCCAGGGCTTCAGCGTAAGGCCAATCCATCTTAGCGCATCTAAGGTGCCACGTCCGAAAACCTGTGTGTTAAAGAGACCCTGGGTGTGATGCCCTGACTGGACTCAAGTGGCTAAACGCCCAAGGGCCAGAGAGGGTGAGAGCGAACGGGATGGATAGAGTTCACCTGAGCGAGCGCCGGCCCCGCAGAGGGAATCACACTCCCCGCACCGGCTTCCTCACAAGGACACTCACAGGGTTGCTGTTGAGACCATATTAAATAACGAGTGTGAGCACTTTGTCACGCCACAGGGTTCAGTAAGTGGCAGGTATTGTTACTTAGGACACTGAAATTAGAGCTGGCCGTGAGACCCCCTCCTCAGTAAGCCCTGCACCCCGAGTGGCATGGACGCTTCTACACACAGGAGTGGTGGATGGGGGCCTTGAGAGGGACCCAGGGAAGCCGGGAGGGTGACCTGGAACAACACTCGTGTCCCTTCCTGGCTAATGGGGACCCTCGTGGTTGTCAGATGGACTCCAGGACTCCAGGGGCTGGGTCCTGCCGCAGGGAACCCCCAGGGCCAGCCCACCTTACACACTGCATCTGTCCCGGCAGCGCCTCGGCCCACCGGGTGGCAGCTTCATGGTGACGCTCATCCCTCCACCTGGTACTCAAGGCAGAGCCCACCTGGACCACTATCTTCCCCCCACAACCCAAACCCAGCGTTTCCCGGTCGGTCCTGAAACCCCACACAGGCTCCCCTGACCACACCTGGTCCTCCAATCCCAAGGCGCTCACGAAGTCTCTTCCATTTTTATCATTTGCCATTTTCTTTAGCCGTTTGTGCATTTCCCTAACCAGGAAGACAAGAGGTAGCAGCATTCAGACTTACAGAGGCTGGTTTTTGGTACTGATCTAGTGTCCCTTGTCACTGGCTGGAGTGGCTGAGTGTTTATTAAGGTCTGTCACCTCTTTTCCTATCCTTATCTCTCTTTTGCAAACCACATTTTTAAAGGTCTGCAAACATTTCCACAGTCAGCAACTTGCAGGGCATGGAAATTTCCTGCTTACCAGGGGTCAGGGAGGAATTTTAGAATCTTTTGAGTAAAGAATGTTTACATGCACTGGAAGTTAGTTACTGGAGAACAGGGAACCTAGAACTGTCCACAGTGTTTCCTCCCCATGACATCTGTCCAGTGCTCAGCCACCCGCGGCAATGGAGGAAGTGCAGCTACGAAGGTCACAGCGCTGCCTGTGAGTCCCCGCCAACCACTGGAGAGCACAGCGCTGCCTGTGAGTCCCACCAACCACTGGAGAGCACGCGAGGGCTCATTGCACTGTAAGGAGGTATCTTTGGCACCGCACAATTTCCTTGTTCCCTCTACGATAGAGTCAAAGCCATCGGCGCCCGCTGACCTGCTGACAGCCTGGAGGCAAGATGCTGCAGTTCCAACGAGAGAAAGAAAATTATCCTGCTTTTCTTCCGAGTTATAACTGGTCGTTATGTAGGACTTTCTACTTTAATCTTCTTTTCTCAAAGTCTAGTCAAATACCTGCTTACCAACTTCTTGCTCACCCACCACTCGGACAAAAACTCAGCCTTCTAAGAATAACGGAGAACCACCTCCACAGCCAGGCTTAGGGTCAAACCGCGCAAGAGCTGAAGCAATTGGGGGATGACTTAAGATTGGATATATTTAGGCGGAAAATTCACACGAGGTAAAAATAAATATTTAGTTAAGCCTTAGAATTCTGGAAATGTCAACTAATATAACTGAAAGTATACTACCTCTGAATTTATCCTAAAAACATTTTAAAAAGTGTAATTTCAGAAACAAGAAATTAAAAAACCAAAGCTGCAAAATAATTTGTTTCCAAACAATCTGCTTTCTTCATCTTTCTTGCCATTGTCCCCACCCCTTGCCCAAAGGTTCTTAGAGTAACTCGTTCCTTACAGAGATTACAGGCAGGACATAAAAGCGAGTGTTTTATGATTTCTTACCTTAACTATGCTGATAGGCTTTCGAGATAAGTGAAAACTTGCATACAGCAGAAATGTCAAAATAAAAATGAAGGCTCTGTACCTGAAACACAAACAGTGGCAGAAGATAAAATAATTGAAGGCATGTTAATAATACAGTGTCAGTGTGTTCTTAAATTTTCTTATGCTGCACATTATGCATTCAGTCCTGTGTCAATTATCCAACTTACGTACATTACCACTATAATATTCGAACATTAAGCAATTTTGCCACTTTTGCTTTGTCCAAATTGTAACTATTTCAACACTGTAAGAGATAAGAAAAACCAAACTGTTCTTCCTACCCTCATACGCAGCACACAAAATTTCTGACACCAAATGTGTGGGGGTCCCCCCCAACACCAGGCAATTCTCCAGCAGACACCAATTGTGTGTCCTCCCATTCAATTCAATTCTGATACTATCCACCTGGAGACGGCGTCAGGTCCCACAGGCTGAGGGCCTGGGCCCAGGAGACTGCCCCCGCCTCAGGTGCCAGTGGCAAGCGCCAGGCTGTGCCCTGGCTTCTGACTCACTGGCTATAAATTGGGGTTCCCACTTGTGTTCGATTAATTTGCTAGGACAGGTCACAGAAGTCAGGAAAACACTTTACTTGTGTTTACTGGCTTATTAGAAAAGATATTACAAAGAATACAGATGAACAGCCAGATGGAAAAAATGCACAGGGCAAGGTATTGGGGAGGGGCTCATCGCATCTATGCCCGCACCGGTCCCGCAACCTGCATGCTCTCCCGACCCTGTCCTCTGGGTTTTCATAAAGGCTGTATTACACAGGCACAATTGATAACATCATTGGACACTGGTGATGAGCTCAACCTTTGGGGGTCCCTTTCCCCACCCCAAAGGTTGAGGGTGGGGCAGAGAGTTGGTTCCCCTGGCAACCAGTCCCCATCCTGAGGTGTCCAGAGCCCCAGCCACCAGTCATCTCATTAGCATACAAAAAGACACCACTTCGGAAAGTGCAAGCGTTTTATAGGAGCTGTGTGCCAGGAACCAGGGGCAAAGGCTAAATGTGTACTTATTATTATATCACACTATCGCTAAAATTTATTTTTAAAAAACTATAACCAAAGAGAAATTTGGGACTTAAGAGGTACACATGTTTACAGAGCAGACAAGAAGGAATGTTTATTTAGTTCACAACAAAATTAACTGCAAGTTCTTTGTGTAGCCTGCTATCCTGGGCGTTTAATATCATATTTATTTTTGGATTTTTAGTTTCTATGCAACTTTTCAGCAGCACACAAGCAAGGCAGACATAAATACTTCACTGACCTTAATGAGAAAAAGTCAGTGATACTGGCAAGCTCTGAATAGGCAATGACATAAAAACACTGGCACGCAGCCCTGAGGCTCTGTCCGGCTGTGAGAAAAGTAGCTCAAGACTAAGCATGGAAAGTGCGGGCGAATGAAGAAAAGAAGTGACTCGAGTACGAAGACAAAAGTTAATTCCAGTCTAAACTCTGAACCACCACATAGAAAAGGGCAACAAACAGGTGGGAGAAAGAAGTGTGTGACAAGGGATGAAGAAGAGGGACTCTAACCAGGAAGCAGCTCTTCTGTGTCCTGAGGCACAACCCCCAACCCTACAGAACCTGTCCTGTTTCCGGCCTGCAGAGGCCGCCCATTTCAGATTGTGTGCCCGACTGCTCGAATCAACAGTCAGCTAAGGCGGCATCTGCCAGGTCTACCTGGACAGAGGAGCGGTTTCCCCTGGGAGGGCCCACCGGGATAACGCACTTTAATGTTGTCATTTATTCCTCAAGGGAAGCCCTCTGTGAATAACACACGGAATCCTGGAATCTACGGCTGCCTGCCTCTCTGGCCACCAGCAAAAGTAGGGGTCAAATAAATATTTCCAGATTAAAAAAAAAGAAAAGACCATATTTCAGAAGAGAAGAAGGGTTGTTAGTGCTGTGGGACTCAAACCGATAACCTCTGGAATGCTTGTGCCTTAGGGAAAGGAGAAAAACCACAGCAACTTGCTGAATACTTGCCAAGTGAATAAACGAATGCTCCAACATCTCTTCTTATAAATACCGATAGTTTGCCTGGATTCTTCCTCTCCGAGGCCACGCCAATGGTCAGATAGGAAAAAAGTGAAACTCTAAAAAACGAGTGTGTAACTTATCCCAAAGCCCAAGAACAAAGGCTATGCACGTATAGTGTATTTGCTACAAAAGCCCACGCCTCTGTCCTTGTGTTTCTGAACATCAAGGAATGAGTCTCTGCCTTCTTCGGCTGACGCTCTGTCACACCACGCTCTGCTCCTACGCACCTTAGGTTGCACGTGCAGGAAGATTCCAGGACGCTGGAGCTTATCAGCCCCCATACTCAAATTTCCAGCCCACAGCTGGACTCGCTGGGCCCTTATATTCCTGCCTGCCGAAAAACGAACAGAGCACGTGCAGCCTCTGATGATCCTGGTCTGCCCCACGTGGGTGCAGGGCTCCTTTCCCAGCCTCCACGGGGAATGTGAACAAAGTCTTCAGCGGGAGCAAGCCCCAGCACCTCCCAAACCCGTCTCAGAGAAGAATGTGGAGCACCTTTCGCGCACCCTTGAGGATTCTGCATAGGCACCACAGTTTTATAGGCGTGTTATCGGCTGGGAGAACGTGAATTTCCCAATCACCAGCTACGAAGGACCTTGAGAAACGCGGCTCCACTCCCCGGGCCTCAGGTTCATGCTTTCCCCTCTACGCAGACAGCCCAGAAGTAATGCGCTGTCCCCCTGCTGGGACGGGGTCTGAAGTGTGCTAGGGCCCAAACATGCGCTGTGCCCTAGACCACCAGGGCTGCGTGGGCCATCAGGCCCTGGGGACCACCCCAGGGCCCCGTCCTCCGCTCGTGCAGTGGCTCCCAGCGGTGCTCAGCAGGCAGTGCCCTGCAGGCTGAGGTGGTCCCCCTGAGCCTCCCGCTAGCGCCTGGGCTAGAGCACTCCCAGGGAGACCCCATGAATGCCGAGGACCACACAGGGGAGGGGCACACACCTCTGGAAATCTTCAGTTCTGCATGGAAATGAAACACCTTAACGAATTAGCCCCTTTGGGTGGGAAGAGTAACTGCCTGCAGATCAGCAGGTTCTCTGAGAGACACTGTCCTGGAGAATCAGGGTGAAGGGGCAGTTCGCACCGCTCACTGTCATTTTCCTGGAGACCGAAGAGGAAACCCCTATCTTTATTTAGCCAGTATCAGGCCAGCTCTACTTCCTCTGTTTCCAAATCCATCCTTCCTCCCTCATTTTCCCCTTCTTTGCATAGGTCTTGGGGGAAGGAGAAGCCCACAGCCGGAGGCTGGGCTTTCCCTTCAGGAAGTCTGACCCCAGCTCCCACCAGCCACCGTTACACCGCGGCAGCCGCCTCACCTCGCCTGGCCTGCAGAGCAAGTGGACATTCTGCTTCTGCAGGGTTGTCCAGCGTTATGGGGTTGAGGTCCCAAACAATCCTCCTGAAGGCCTTTCCCCACTTTGTAATTCTGTCTTTTTCTCTAGTATTTATGAAGCAAAGTTCTGGATGATTCCTGTTTCCTTTTATCCATCCTGTGCTGGCTTGAATAGGGTCCCTTAAAAACTCACGTCCACTCAAAACCTCGGACCATGACCTCATTTAGGAATAGGGTCTCGCGGACACAACTAGCTAAGGTGAGGTCGTATTATATTGGGGTGGGCTCTAATTCCAAAGACTGGTGTCCTTACACAGAGGCCATGTGAAGACAGAGACAGACAGGGAGGGAGGCCCTGTGACCCTGGAGGCAGAGACAGGTCGGATGCAGCTGCGAGCCAAGCACCGCGGCCAACGGCGGAAACTGGAAGGGGCGAGGAAGGAGCCTTCCCTAGAGCCTTCAGAGGGAGGGTGGCCCTGCCAACACCTCGACACCTCGATTTCGAACTTCTGAACTCCAGTGCTGAGAGAGAACACATTTCCGTTGTTTGAGACAGCGGTGTGTGGGACTTTGTTACAGCAGCTCTAGGAAACTAATACAATCCTTTTATTTTTGTTTTGTGTTACATTTACAAACACTAATCAGTGTTTCATTTACTTTTTGCAATTATGACTAATTGTAGCATTCTTTGCATCCACCAACACAAGAAGAATAGTGTTTGGGTTAACCCCAAGTTTCTAGCAAAAAGGCAAGCCTCAGCAATGGCAACACAGGACAGGCGTGCACCTGCAAAGCCTCCTTAGAAACGTTCTTGAATATCATGTTCTCGGATGGGCGGCAACCTCCTCCAGGGAAGAGGCTCCATGGAGAATGTCTGTCTCCTTGTTTGAGCGTTACATTTCAGTCATATGCAAATAAGGAATAAACAATTGCTTTTGGCAATCATTGCGCAATATGATTTGGTGTAGAAATTAGTCCAAAGACATCCTCAATTTGGAAACCATGAAACCGGAGAAGTGATGCCATAAACTTTTCAGAGCATCCTGTCAGGAGGCACGATGTTGGTGACATTAACGCTGGTCATTGGTTAAGGTGCTGTCTGCCACACTGTCAGTGAAACTACAACCTTTCCCTCTAAGTAATGAATAAGGATTTTGTGGGGACCTACTCTGAGATAACGTAGAGATCCTCACCCCATGGTATGTGTCCACGGAGTCTGCGGGTCTGCACTGCGCAGCCCCCGTGGCTCCCGGCGGTGGCTTGCTAACCGTGGCGTCCGCTCTGCCGAGTAGCTGGCCTGACTGCACGGGGGAGCCCTCCTTTTCTCTAGTTATTTAGTTATATCAGTGTGGACTCACTAGATTCTTATGGTGTTCAATGAGCTATAATCCACTGTTAGTATCATTTTAAATCCCAAACTGTACTGGATTTGGACAGCGAGAGGCCCTTTACTTTTAAGCACTTCCTTATTTTCTGGCACAAGACATTCCAGGCCCACCCTGACGTTCCCCACCACAGTCCTGGCATTGGCCAAGTCTCCAAGGACCCCTCGGTTCCTTTCAGTGTGGAGTGGCACACAGAAACCAGGATGGGGCTAGTTTGCTCACTGTGGATGGTGCTGCCCCAAGACCTCTCAGCGGGTGCATTTTATATGTCCCCCCCAAATATTTCTATATCTATCTACTGCCACTAGTTCCTCTTGAGAGGAAACCGCACGATTCATTCCAGTTCTCTCCCCTCCCCACATTTGTAGCTCCTTCTCCATCAGTGAGAAGCTGTCTCTTTCCTGTGGGATTTCTGTCAGAAATGCATTAATGTAATCTGAATCTAATCGTAAGGCAGTAACAGACATATCCAAAATGAGGCCATTCTATAAAATAAATGGCTTGAACCCTTCCCAACTGTCAAGGCATGAAAGACAAAAAAAAGGGCAAAGAGTAGTTTTAGATCAAAAGAGACTAAACCCACAGGGCAGCTAAATGCGGCTAAATGCAGCGCATGAACCCGGACTGGATGCTGACGGGGAAAATGCTATAAGAGGTATTACTAGACATTCGATATAGTTTTTAATAAGAACTGTGGATTAGATAACAGTATTGTATCAGTGTCAAATTTCTTGATTTTGATTGTTATGCTGTGGTTATATAAGATAATGTCTTATTCACAGGAAACACACACAGAAGTATTTAAAAATAAAAGGGTATGATGTCTGCAACTTACTCTCAAATGGGCCTGAAAGCCTGTGTGTGTGTGTGTGTGTGTGTGTGTGTGTGTGTGTGTGTGTGTACACAAACATCTACACACAGGGTTGGGTGCAGGGAGAGAAGCAACTGAGGAAAAGTGTTAACAAGCGCTGATATACAGTAGTTCTAGAGAGTTTTTCGTAATATCCTTACGAATGTTATTAACAGTAAATTCTCTGAGTTTAATCTGAATTTAACATTATATCACAATAAAGTTATAAAACAGAGAAGCTAAACACTCACTAAACACAACCTAAGTGTTTAAGCACTCGGGGCTGATTCCCAGTGGACACAAGAGTCGAGAAGGGAAGCCGAATGGTTAGATAGCCCCGATGTCCTCAGGTCAAACCTGAGACCCAGACCTCGGGGAAACTCCACCACCCAGCAGGGCCTGAGGAGCTGCAAAGCGGGTGAAAGCCACGAATAGGTGGGTGTGAAGGAGAGGAACGGGCCCAGGACATGCACGTGGCATCGAAATCATTTTGAGCAGAAGGCATTGTGTTCATGAAATCTCTTAGGTGCCTAAAAGCAGAGCCTCCCCAAAGAACTCAGCTGTCATCAATCCTCTTCCTGGAGCAACCCAGGAGACTCTTGCCAGGAAGAGGAGAAGCCTGCCCCACACAGAAACGCATTATCACAGAACCGCCAGTCTCCCATCTGTTCTCTTAAGAGCCACTCACCTTTCCAAAAAGCCCTTTGTTTCCCCTTAGGTGCCCTTCCCCCACTCTCCTTCCCCTGTAGGAGGAAGATGGTAGACAAGCCCCAAATTCTAAATGCCACTTTGAGTCACGTTTTTCTATTACCTTTCATATAGACTTGATTAAATCTGTCCTTCTTTTGCTAATTTATCTTTTGTCAGTTTAATTCATAGGCCCTCAAATACTAAACCTAACAGTAGAAAGAAATTTTTCCTTTCCCAACAAAGACCAGCAGGGTGGGTTAGAGGCCAGAGAGCCCAGCTCTAGACTGTGCCCTCACCATCTGCTTCCTTGGAGGAGCGTGGAATTAACGAAGCCACCTGGGAGAAGGATTCTCAGAGCACGCAAGGAGGGCACTCTCTGAACAGAACGTGCTGTTCTGGTCTGCATCTAACTTTGCTGCGACTTCATTTTCTCTCTGAAAGTTCTGACCCAGCGAGGCCACGTCTGGGCTCAGAGTTATATACTTATTTCACCCACAGCCATTTGATAATCCTGCGGGTTGTCGGTGGCCATTTTTCTGTAGGGACCATGACTGTAACAGAAACTACTGAAGACCACACAGGTGTCCAAATGGTATCTGTCAATACCAAGACGAAAGATAACTCAGCAATGGTCCAGGTCACCACTTTCACCACCAATGAGCAATTCGACAGTTATGGGGGATGCCACCGATCCAATTTTTATGTGTTTTATAATGAAATTGGGGCAAGAAAACTACCTGCACAGTAGCTCTCACCCACACACAGCACCAGGCCGAAGGAATGACCTGCCGGCACTTACCACTGATCCCTGGAGAAGGAGACGATGAAGCGAATGCCGGCGGGGAGTTGAGCCATTTACGTTGCTACTGATCATAGAGCTTCGTCACAAAATAAGGTGCTTCATAAATAGGTTATTAATCCTGGCTCCAGGTTCTCTCTCAACTGCACCTGCGGCTTACGCGGGCTGGAAAGTGAGTAGAGAAGTGTCCCACGGGGTCTCGTTCCCTCTTCCTTCCAGCAGTGGCTCTGCTCTCTACAAGGAGAAGGAGAGGCATCCAAAGTCAGTGTTCTGACAACGACACCTTCAGAGTCACCGGCAGAAGTAACTACAGGATGTTCAGTAGTGGTACCAGTTCAGATCAAAAATGGACTTCTGACACCAGAAGGAGCTCCCACCAGGAGTGCCACCAGAGTGTCTGCCCTCAGCGCCGTTTGTTCAAAGGTCACTGAAATGAATTTCAAACAATGTTCTGATGATGCACAGAAGTAAAATGTAGGACAGGGGATGCTAGAGGCTGTGAAGAGGAGGGGATAGGGAGAGACTGGGAGAGATTCATTAAAGGATACAAAACTACAGCTAGACAGGCAGAATAAATTCCAGTGTCCTATACCTCTGGAGGATGACTACAGTTAACAATAATATATTATATAGTTTCAAATAGCTAGAAGGAGCATACTGAATGTTCCCGACACAAAGAAATGATAAATATTTGGGAGGCTGGAGGTGCTAATTACCCTGATCTGATCACTGCACATTACATGTGTGAAAATATCACTACCTGCCCCATGAATATGTAGAATTATAATTTGTCAACTTAAAAAAAATTTTTAAAAAGGAACCATAGAGCTCATCTGGTAGGCATCTAGAGAGCAACTCATTCACTCTTGACCACGACACTGCACAGAACTAACACTCACACAAAACCACGTGTGTGCCCGGTGCTTATAGCATGTGCCCAATCATCGGGACAGGCCAGGGCACCAGACTTGCTCAGCTCTGCCCAGTATGGGCCAGGCCACCTTTGAGCCCAGTGACAGAGGAACGCACGCCTGGACAGGAAGGCATATCAAGGCAATCGTGTAACTGTGGCTTTGCCTTGTGAATCGAAATGCACCTGATGCTGACGGAATGGACTTCGCCTCTGTGTGCCTCATTCGTCATCGCCTGTGCTCACCTCAGAGGTTGTGGGAAAGTACCTCGTATGCAGCCAGGCTGAAGGCAGGGAGATACGGGAAAGAATGGGTAGAGGCCTGAGAACCAAGAAGGGGCCCAGCACACCAGGCAGGGCTGGTCTCCTGTCCCCAAAGCCAAGTTCATGACACATTCCTAGGTCACCGTGTTTCCAAAACAGAATCAGTTCTTCACATTCCCTTTGCCCTCCTTCCAGAGTGAGTGTTGAAAAAACGCACATACTTCGATGATTTTCCTCTATACTACCTTCTAGAAAAACATTCAAAATCCTTCATCCCAGAAGCCACCCCCATCTCCTCTCTCTGTTCCAGCCAGGAGAACTACACCTTTCTCCCAAGCCCCCACTGGGCCTTTACAGGTGCAATTCAGAATGTCTCCTGCCCCCAAGGCTGAGCTTGGGCTGGGTGGGCCGAGGCAACTCACGGCCTCTCAGCTCTCTCACCTCTGGGCTAGACAGTGGGGATGATGGCACCTACAGTGTTAGAAAAAGGAGGAGAGATAATCCACTGAAAGCACTTACACAGAGCCTGGAATGCAGTAAATGCTCAGTTAATATAAGCTGACATTATGCTTCTTGTAAATTCATGAGAGGAAGGCCCAGGACAGCAGGTGACTGTCCTACTCCCATTTCCTGGTTCAGAACCTAGCACAGAACAAGTGCTCAAGAAACTCATGTGCAACAAATGACCGAAGATGCTTCAAAACTGCGTTTGCTGAAAACTCTAGATTTAAAAAAACATTTGCTAAACTTTGCTCAAAATCAGTGGACTCTGGTTTGGGCCCAGATACACTTGAGTAACAATTTTGTGATGATGACTTTAGACTAAAGGATTTGGTTTAAATTTTTACGATGTCTGAAAGTGGGTGGGCAGAATCAAATTTCTTCCCTTTAGATGCTGCTTCTCTGTGTCCAGCCTGTCTGGAGATACTCTGTTGTCATCTACTAAATAAATAAAAACCTCAATGCAACTTTGGTAACACCTATAACAACGAAAGACCCAGAAGGCACTGAAAAATCAACAGGCAAAATAAAACCTCCTTGATTTCCTTTTAAAACAAGGACAAGTTCTTTCCCCTATAAAATGGGTGAAAGTAAAGTGCTACAAATCCTCACAGTGTGTGCAATTAAGACTTGTAAAGATAGCGATTTTACATTTGGGACATAGCTTAAGGAGGCCCCTCCTGCCTCACCTCTGCAGCACCCACAGCCAGGTGGCCTGCCCAGGTCAGCTCCATCCTGGGGGCAAATTCCAGTCTGTCCTGTTTCCCTCAGTCACCTCCCTCCAGCCACTCTTCCTCCTCCCATCCCCTGCAGAGTGAGTGCATCAGAACTCAGCAAGTCACTTGGTTTAAATCCTGGTTTTGACACACAGCCCAAGCACATTTTTAAAAAGTCACTCTTTATAGGCTCCCCTGGAACTCACCACCCCACTGGGGAAAAGTGTCAGAATGTCCAATCTCACTGTACTGTCAAAGAGCAACTTAGGAAGCATCTCAGTGGAGCATCTCTACTAAAATCTGTAAAACACATGATTTTGCACCTGTCTTTTTAAAAAGCCCAACCTAGGCAGCTGCCATGTGGAATGAGCTGAGGGGTACACACATCTGAAAGCCCCACCCTCAGACCCGCCCACGGAATGATGTGCCCCCTAGATGAGCTCCTCCACTCTGCAGAGGTTCAATGAGGCTAAAAAGTGAGTAAACAGCAAGAGTAATGTTGAAGGGGTCTTTCCAGGGCCGAAGTGCCATTGCTCATAATCAAAGCAGCACCGCAGATATTTTAAATCTACTTAGTGGCAAAATTTTTAAACTGGGTCTCATTTTAAAGGCAAAGATGAGTGGGAAATGCATGTCCCCCCGCCAAAAGTTTCCATGCATTGTTCTTTTTTGTAATCAAGACATAGAATACAATTTCCTTCCCAGAGTAAGCACTTTCTATGGCTTTGTGCTTTTAAAGGCTCTACTCCATATTAAACACCAATGGAAATGGTCACTATCTCTTTTCTTTGGCTTAAGTACAACAAGGAATCTGAATTCCATTCACACCACCTCCCCCCTCCCCACAGCAAACAGAACATCTAACCTGGTCTGCTCAGAACAAAACCTGTAATGCAGTCCCAAATCTACAAGGCGAAACGGGGCTAGGGACCAGGGTTTCCCAGGTTGCTCTAAAAGCGGATTAGTGAAGAGACAATGGCGAAAGTCTCCTGTATTTACCCACTCACACGATTTCGTACAATTCAAGTTCAAAGGCAAGCAGGCAGGCAGGCACCTTCCAGAGAGTGAGCTGCGGAGACCAGGAGAAGACAGGGTTTGGAACTCCTGCCTTAGAAATTCAAACCTGGGGGGGGCGGTGAGGGCTTCCCGTACCCTCCGTTCCAATGCAAACCTTAGACTGTGCCTCCTGGGTCACCCGGATCAGAGCGCGGGCTGCTGGGGCTGGAGGGTCGCTGGCCAGCGGCGGGGGGACGTTCTGGCGTTTTAAGCCCTTAATTCTAAACCCAGAAGGTCGCTGTCACCCGTGCTGGCCGGGAGGCCCACGGGCTCCGGGAACCAGCTGCTCGGCAGGCAAACAGCTCCCAGGCCCAGGTGCCGGCGCTCCGAGCCTACCGGAGGACGCTCTGCGGCGGCTCCTCCCCGGCGGCCGTCCCGGCGGAGGTGAACTCGGTGGGCACGCCCACGTCCCTCGCGCAGACAACGTGCGGGCTCTTCCTGCCGGCTCTCTAGACCCCCGGCTGTCACCGCAGCGCGGGCCGGGGTGGGGAGGGGACCGGCAGGACAGCTACGCTCGTCCCTGCCAGGGGCTTCGGGGGCGGCTGCCGGTCCAGTACCGGCTCCTCTGCCTCCACTTGCCCGGAATCCCAGCGTCGCCCGGGTCTGGGAATGCCCGGCATTGTCGCCTAGGGCCACTCTTCTAGATCCCCAATTTCAAAGACTTCCCGCAGCGAAAACAGCTTGAGACCAGCCCCGGCCCTCCAAAAACCCAAACCAAACCGGAGAAAGAGAGAGAGAAGGCGGAGAGGGACCGGGCTCGGGGGTGCGCAGGGTGCGGAGCCCGGCTCCCCGCGGGGCGGGGCCCGCGGCAGCAGGTGCGGCTCCCGCGTGTTGCGGGCCCAGCAGGTGCGGGCGGTGGGGGGTCCCGCCCGCCTGGCCGCCTCCGGCTCGGGCCCGCGCCTCACCTGCGCCGCCGAGGCCCGCGCACGGCAGCCAGACCCGGCCGCCGCGGGCGCTTCCTGCTCGCGACTTCCTGGAGCGGCGCGCGGGAGGCCCCGCCGCCCTTTCGCTTTCCGCGGCCCGCGGGGCGCCCGCCCGCCGCGCGCTCCTCCCCTCCCGCTTGCCCCACCCGGGTCCGCCCAGACCCCAGCGCCCAGGGTCGCAGACGTCCCGGGGACGCCGGGAGGAGCGCCCCCAGGTCATCGCCCGCGCCTTCCGGGCTCCGCAGGGCGCAGGAGCGTTTACTGATCTCCTGGCGAGCACCCCAGCCGCCAGCGCAGAGCTCCCCTGCACCCTCCGGGCCGCCCGCCCTTTGTCCTCAAAGCGGATCTTACCAGCGGCAAAGAGCCACACGTCCCCGAGGAAGGACTGGTCCCCGCCGTGTCCTCCCGCTAAAGAGGGTCTTTCCTGGACTCCTGGCCTTGGTTCCTACTGTGTCCTGCCAAGGGTCAGAACCATGCTAGCATTCTGTGAGTGGAAATGGGGCTCACGGATGTGGCTGTGCGGAACCAACTTGTGTCACACCTGTGCTTGGGCGACACAGGCAGCGCACATAGTGAGGCTGGAGAAGCCCAGCATGAGGGCCCCACTTCCCCCCAGGAACAACTGTTCTCCAAATCCCACTCTCAGCTCTTTTCAAAAATTGACCTTGGGCCTCTCCTGAGAGGGGCCTGAGTATGTTCCTAGGGGTACTGCAGAACCCCCACAGTTGACACAGGGCGCAGCATCCAAAGGCAGCTCCTCCAGGAGTGCCCCTCCCTGGAAGAGCAAAGTGAGGCAGAAAGGAAATTTTCCAGGAAGAAACTGCCCCTGGTTAAAACAATACTTAGAGATAAAACCAAGCCAAGTCCTGGCTGTAAATGTCCAAACAGGCCTGTTTGGACAGCGCCCCACGGCCCTCCCCTCAGGCACCTTGAGCCTCCCTCCCCTGCAGGCCTCACAGTTTCCCCCTGGGGCCCTGCTCTGTTTCTGGAACACTCATATCTGTGCCTGTTTGGTGAGCTGAGTAGCGTCAAATCCACAACTTCTTTAGGCTTTTGAGAGGCATTCTGCACCTGGAAAGGAAACCTGCCTACTTGGCCCCGTGTCTCACCAGTGAGAAGGCCAGGGCTGCCGGGCTCCACTCTCCTAGCCCTCTCCTTTCTGACTCTCCATTCCTGCTGACCCCAAACCAGTCCGGCCTGGCTCCGTCTCTCTCTCTCCCAGTCATCTCCCCTCCCTAGCCACGGGTTCTGCTCGGGGCTGCTCCTTTCTCTCCCAACCTGTGCAACAGCCTTCTCAATTCCAAACTCTCCCTCGTGCAGTCCACGCTGAGCTGCCTCAAATGCCCTGCTGAAGCACAATCTGATTTTGTCATTCCTGATGAGAAACCTTCAGGGCATCCTGTCACCTACAGGAATGAGACCAAATTTCTCAGTAGCGAGAAGCAAGGCCTGAAAGCACTTTTTACAATGGAATTTCTCCCAGTGACCAAGCTTCTGGATAGCTCTTTAGTTTCCAAGAACATGTGTTTTCGCTGATGCTCCTGCCTTGGCCTTCCTGACCTCAGCTTTTCCTAGACAGCTCAAACTTAGAGAGCCAATTCAATGTTCCTCGGCTCTCAGGTTATCGTCACTGCACGTTTGTATCAATTCATCGTGACTTACCACAGTGAACTGGGCTGACGGGATTCTAGTCTCCTGTCCTGCCTCAGAAGCATGCACGGAATGAATGAATGCAGTATGGCACGGTACAGAGTTATCCTGATGTTTTTCAGAACATTTTCTCCCGTAAAAATGATAATATTTGCATGGCACACTGGGGTAGACTAGAGGGGATCTGAATGGGCTACATATTTGCTGAAAATGTTAATCTTTTAATTTTATGAAGATTAAATATTGATCTTTATAAAATATTAACCTTTTTATATTAATCTTTTATATGATTATAGCATTTAAAAATCTATTAAAGAAGTTAGAAATTTGCATAAAATGTCCAAGTAAAACATTTCACATCTTGAAATGAAAACTTAGGGTTGCTTCTGTGAACGTATGGGTTTTATGCTTGAAAAGCTGTCACATAAGCTCAGAACAGCTGGGAAAGCTTGGACACCACCATCGAGACAGTTTCTTTTTCCCCTAGCTTTACTTATGTATAACTGACAAAAATGGAACACATGTATGGAGTACAATGTGATTTTTGATATATGTCTACGTTGTGAAATGATTACCACAATCAAGCTAATTAACATATCCATCACCTCACAGGTATTTTTTTTTTGGTAGTGAGAACATTTAAGACGTATTCTTCTTGCAAATTTCAAGTACACATTATTAATGTTAGTCACTGTGCTGTACATTAGCTCTCAAACTTATTCGACCTGCCTAGGAGAAACTTTATACCCTTTGACCAACAGTTCCCCAGGTCTCCCACCCCCCAGCCATGGTAAACACCATTCATTGTGTGCTCGGCCTCTGAGCTTGACTGTGTCAGATTCCACAGTAAGTAGGCTGATACAGCATCTGCTTTTCTGTGCCTGGCTTATTTCACTTAGCGTTATGTCCTTCAGGTTCATCTATGTTGCTGCAAATGACAGGATTTCCTTCTTTTTTAAGGCTGAATAGTGTTGTATTCTGTATATATACAACACATTTTCTTTACAGACTTCTCTTTTGCAATGTTGTTTCCATTTTCATTTGTCTCAAGATACTTTCTGATTTCCCTTTTGATTTCTTCTTTGGCCCATTGGTTGTTCAAGAGTGTGTTGTTTAATTTCCACATATTTGTTACTTTTCCAATTTTTCCTCCTGTTTTTGATTTCTAGTTTCATACTATTGAGGTCGGAAAAGATACTTGATATGATTTCAATATTCCTAAATTTGTTAAAAATTTTTGTGCCGTAACACGTGATCTATGCTGGAGAGTGTTCTGTGCACACTCAAATGTGCATTCTGCTGCTGCTGAAGGGAAGGTTCTGTCAATATCTGCCAGGTCCATTTGGTCTATAATGTTAAGTCCACCGTTTCCTTATTGATTTTCTGTCTGGATGATCTATCCATAGTTGACAAGGAAGTACTGAATTCTCTGCTATTATCATATTGCTATCTCTTCCTTGACTTAATGCTGTATTTGCTTTATATTTAGGTACTCTGATGTTGGGTGCATGTACATTTACAATTGTTACTTCCTCTTGATGGATTACTCCTTTATGATTATATAGTATCCCTTTTTATTTCTGTGACAGTTTTTGACTTAAAGTCTATTTTATCTGATATTAGTATAGCCACCTCTGCTCTCTTTTGGTTACCATTTGCATGGAATTATCTTTTTACATCCCTTCATTTACAGCCTGTGTGAATCCTTAAAGCTAAGGTGAATCTATTGTATGCAGCATACGGTTAGGTCTTGTTTTTTTTTTTTTAATCCATTTGGCCACTTACATCTTTTGATTGAAAACTTTAATCCACTTACATTTAAAGTAATTATTGATAGGTAAGGACTTACTGCTGCCATGTCAAAAATTGTCTTCTGGATACTTTTTTGTTCCTTTGTTGCTTTCTTCCCCTCTTGCTATCTTCCTTTATGATGTGATAATCTTTTTTATGGTAGTAGTATGCTTTGATCCATTTCTCTTTATCTTTTGTGTATATACCACAGGTTTTTGTTTTGTGGTTACCATGATGCTTACATAAAACATCTTATATCAGTCTGTTTTAAGCTGATAAAAACTTTGACCATATACAGAAACTTTACACTTTAACTTCTCCCCCCATTTTATGTTATTGACATTACAATGTTATAATTTAATTGTGTATCCATTAACAAATTGTTGTAGCTATAATTATTTTAAAACCTTTGTCTTCAAACTTTTATACTAGAGTTAAAAGTACTTTACAGACCACCATTTCAGTATTAGCATATTCTGAATTTGACTATATTTTTACCTTTACAGTTAGTTTTAGACTTTCATATGTTTTCATGTTGTTAGTTAGCATCCTTTCATTTCAACTTGAAGAATTTTTTTAGAATTCCTTGTAAAGTAGATCTAGTGGTGATGAACACCCACAGCTTTTGTTTGGGACAGTCTTTATCTGTCTTTCATGTCTGTAGGACAACCTTGTTGGGGTATAGTATTCTTGGTTGGCAGTTTTCTTTTAGCACTTTGAATATGTCATCCCACTCCCTCCTGGCCTGCAAGGGTTATGCTGAGAAATCCACTGATAGTCTTATGGGGTGACAAATTGCTTTTCTCTTGCTGCTATCAAAATTCCTTTTTTGCCTTTGACTTTTGAGAATTTGATTATAATGTGTCTTAGCGAAGATTTTTTTTTTTTTTTTTCTGAGACAGGGTCTTGTTCTGTCACCCAGGCTAGAGTGCAGTGGCATCATCACAGCTCACTGTAACCTCAAACTCCTGGGCTCAAGCGATCCTCCTGCCTCAACCTCCCCAGTAGCTGGGACCACAGGTGTGTGCCACCATACCTAACTTTTTCTATTTTTTGTAGAGATGGGGTCTCACTGTTGCTCAGGCTAATCTCAAATTCCTGATCCTCCTACCTCAGCTCCCCAAAGTGCCAGGATTATAGGTATGACCCACTGCACCTGGCCAAGTTCTTTTTTTTGTTTTCTCCAGTTAATGAAATGACCACAAACAAGTTCTCTTTATATTTAGTCTATTTGTGGTTCTTTGGGGCTCATGGATCTGGACATTCATTTCCTTCTCTAGATTTGGGAAGTTTTCTGTCGTCATTTCTTTAAATAAGCTTTCTGCCCCTTTTTCTTTCTTTACTCCTTTTGGGAATCCCATAATGCCTACCTTGGTTTGCTTGATTAAGTCCTACAAGTCACATAGGCTTTCTTCACTCTTCACCAAGAGCACAGTGAGTGTGCCACCAAGGTGAAGAACAGACATTCCCCAGAGGAGGCCGGGCAAGGCCAATGGCAGGTTCTGCTTGACAAAGAACAGGTTTCCCTGAAGGGCGCTTTGAGGACACTGGG